AATAGCTTGTAGCATAAATGTAGAAAACTCTTGCATAAAATGAATCCTTTTTTCAAAGAGTAATGGTGCGTTTATATCGAAGATGCCTAACTTTCTTGGAAAGAAGCTTAATTGAGGATGTCCCTTGGTTGACCAAGCTTCGCCGGAAAATTTCTCTTAAACTTTTCAGAAGAAACGATTAGCAGAAACGAAAGTCAGATTTGGAATTAGCGTTTCAAGGAGAGTATATTGGTATACATCTCATCTCAAAAGGACGCTTAATGTCGTTCCATTGTCAGAAGATCGGGAAGAAACACATCCACAGCTGATTGTGTGCCGACAGTGCTTAGGGGTTGAAGTAGCTAGTTATTCACTCAGAAAAATCGTTTGTTATAGTTGGTGTGGACTTGCCCGTATCCAGGAATACTAAATGCACTGCCATCGTTCCTTGATCTTTATCGTAAAACTCTCGTGGTTACTGATCTTGGTGAGTTGTCATTTGTATTGTGGAGACTGTTTCTTTGCAAAATTTCAGTAAGCTGGCCAGTGAGCTTGTCTTTTTCAATGTTCTTTTCACTTATGCTGCTACAGGTACGCAGTCGATTGTTAAGTTCTCAGACGATGATGGAGCGGATAAATTTCGCCACAAGCGAAGCATCACGTTAGCTCCAGATCCGAAAAAGTAAGTATGATGGTGGACTGTTAAGGGACTACCGCTTGATTATAATGTTATAGTCCGACGAAACGTGGCAGTGTGAGCTACATCAGCGGTGTATATATTGACGATGACATGAATATGCTGGTAGCTGACGCAAAGGGACGATCTTTGCAGGTTCGTCTCAAGACTACGCTTTCTCACCATATGTTGAAAATTTCAGGTGTTTAACAGCAGTTGCATCTTTTTATATAGTGTCAAACTGTCAGGTGGTGGCTTTCCCTTTATAAGTGAGTTTTGCGCTGGGTGACGAACAAGAGGAACGATAACTTGTGGCTGTCAATAATCAATGTATCTTTGACTCTCATTTTTTATCCATCTCATTTAGATCAAAGAATTTCCGCTGTTTATGCTTTCACACAAATCAAAGAGTTGACTAGAATCTGTTTGCTTGAAAAGGCGGTGTGTGTCTACATTAAACTCAAATGCGCTTAAAAGGCTAAACTTCGAGCATTTGACGTTTATTCTTGCAATAGTATCACCAACCTGCACTTTTCACCAGACCCCGAGGAGTGCGCATCTAGAATGGCATGTAGCTAACTCCACTGATTTTCATCAATTATAAAATTCGTCATTTAGAGGAAAATGGTGCATTTCCATGCGAGCAGGGGCTGCCAAGCGCTGTCGTTCCTCTTCCCCACACCCCTTTGCTCTCTAGATTCAGTAATGTAATTTCTTTTGATTTGTTTAGGTGGAATATGGGTCAACAACAGCGGACAAATCGGCGTCTGTGCGCGAGGCAACAAGGATGGTGGCTTGCATGTGTACAACATGAGGAAGCCAGTCAGCAAATGATTGGATGAAGTGGTGATTTTTATGCATTGGTTTGTTTTTGAGACTTTCCTGTCTTACTATCAAGAGAATATTTTGTGTTGTTACTAAAGACATTATACGATCGAATTGAATAATTATCGAAGCGTTTTAATAAAAGGCGCTATTCCACATTAGTTGAACCAAAAAATGGAATTCGTGAATTTTGCTGAAACTTCCCCTGGGGGGTTATTTAGTACGTTGAACACAAATATGACGTTTACTTCGGGCTAACGCCGTCCAGTAGAATTACGGCGAGGTTACGGTAGGGACGTCAAAATCACGTATTTGCCCGACTTCATTTAGGGAGGTTATTTATATGATGTTTATTCTGTGCGGCAGCGCCATCCGGTAGAGTTACGGTAGACTTTCGGGCAGATCCCGGGTTAGCCCC